TTTTTCTTCTTTTTTTCTTTTTTTCTTCTTTTTTCTTGTTTTGCTTTTTTGCTTTTTTGCTTCTTTGTTGACTGTTTGGGGAATCGGGGATCGGGGATCGGGATTCGGGATTCGGGGTTCGGGGTTCGGGATTTGGGATGGGGATTTTGGAATGGGGTGGGGTGGGGTGGGGTGGGGTGGGGTGGAGGGGAGGGGAGGGGAAAGAAAGTATGGGTTGTGGGGCCGGATTACTTTCTGGGGAGGGAAAGGGGGGGGGAAAGGGTGGGGAGAGGTGTGGAGTGGAGTGGTTCTGTAAGTACAGTACGTATGTGTTGGTTGTACTGTACTGTACTGTACTGTACTCACTACTAGTGTACCTTAGGTAGTGCACAGTAAGTAAGTAGTTCCGTAGAAAGTATGATTTTGGTGCAAAGGTGGGTGGGTGGGTAAGCTGCGGACGGGACGGGACGGAACTGGACTTTACTGTACTGTACTGTACTGTACTGTACTTAACGTACAGAAGGACGGCGAGCGGCTTGAAGTTGTTGCCCCATATATCTACAGCCCGCGGGGTGTGGGGAGAGCTTTGCGGAGGGGGAGGCGGCCAAGGAGGAGGAGGAAGGAGGATGGTCATTTACTAGGTGGGTAGGTGGGTAGGTAGGTAGGTAGGGTAGGTCGCTAATTAAGCGTAAATGCGACTCGGGGCCTTGGTTTTCATTCAGGGGGATCTATTTATTGCTACGTAAGTACCTACGTAGCAGGTACGTAGTAGCAGGTAGGTCGGTTACCTATAGCAGGTTGGTTGGTTGGTTAGTAGTTGACTAGTTACCTATAGGTACCGTAGGTAGGTAAGTAGTAGGTAAGGTACGGGGGTACAAGTACTACTACAAGTACAAGTACTACGTACTGACTCGTGCGGCCAGGCCAGCATTTCCGTCGTCGCTCTGTCGACTGTATCGGTCTGACTCTTCCCCATGCGCTCGTGGATCTTTTTTAGTAGTAGAAAACTGGGGAGAGCTCTGGACCAGCTTGAGAGGCAGGGGTAAGGAAGGTCCTTTGACCCTTTTTTTTTTTCCCTTTCTTACAGTACAGTAGGAAAGACGATTCACTACGAATAGGACGTAGACACCGTGTACGTGCGAGAAGAGAAGCGCTGGGTGCAGATCAGGAACGGGGTCTCATTTCATGTCATTTTCATCTTTCATTTTCATTTTCATTTGCAGAGAGGCTATTCCGACTCCTCCAAGCAGGAGACCGGGTCCCATACTGTCGCCGCCCGGTAGCCCGGTAGCCCGGCCCCGTTTTAGTCGAGTCGTGATTTTCAAAACGGGGTTTTTCTTGCTTGCAAGAGCTCTCGTTTTGGAGATTTAAAAACGAAGGAGCTTGATCGTTTACGATCGGCGGGGTAAGGAAGGTACTATTTCTCATGGGACAAAGAAAGAACCTTTTTTTTTTCTATTTCTTCTTTCCTGAATGGTAAGGAGATCTGGACTGGATGGATTGTGCAGCCGACGTGTTCGTGTAGAGATACCCTTTTTCCTCGGTTATGGCTACTACCTGCCTGCGGGAGGAATATATACTTACAGTACCTGTATGAACGCTTTAAATTATTTAAGGTCGGGGACGATCGATTTAGCAGATGGGACGTCATAGGTGGGGTATGGTCATCGCACCCGACAACTAGTAGTACTGTATGAGCAGGGCTTGAGGAGCTGCGGAAGGGGGGGGGCCAAGCAAAAGAGCGTGTAGTACTACCGGTAGGTAATCCTCTGCTTATTTTCTTACTTAGTAGTATCTGCTTGCTTGCTTCTCTGGATTATTAATAAAGTTCTCGGGGGGGGGCGGGGCGGTTTCAAGTTCAGGGACTACTACTAAGTACAGTATACTGTAGTTGTAATACTGGGTCTTCGAAGGGCCGATTCCAGGGGGTACCTAAGTAATACAGTAGCAGGGGCGGTAGCGAGGGGTAAGTACCTTAAAGGC